ATAAACAGTGTACACAGGATCAGAAAACAACAAGCTCCCACTCAATACCCCCCATGGCTCCCTTTCATACAGATTTCTGGGGCCAACACCCCCACCTAGGGGTGCAGCAGCGATCTGTCTGCTTCCCTCCAATTCGGTAATGTGACACTCCCGTACTGCCTGGCTCTCCTGAAGAATTCCTTCTCGGCCTGCCTCTCAGCACGCTGAGGAGTCGTCTTGCTGCCCTTGCAGGAGGAGGACCCTTAGCCCTGGTCTACACTAGGGAATCAGTTTGAAATAATAAGCAGAGTGTCCACACTGCCTAACCCGTTATTTCGAAATAACAGGCTGGTTATTTGGAATCTGTGCTCCTGCTTTCTGTGACATAGTGGGGGTGCTCCCGCCTGGCTGCGCTGGGCTGTGATTCCCAGTGACTCACTCCACATGTGCATTGGCCCAGACCTGAGCAGATAACAGCCCTGTTCCCAGAGAGTGAGATAAAAGAAGAGAGGCGGGGACTGTCCCCAGGCTGGGGGGTAGGGCCGGGGAGTTGAGTCAGTCTCGGCTGGGCTAGGAGGAGGGAGGATATTTTAGACCAAGGAAGGGGGTGATGCCCCTTCCCCCCCAGAGGACTAGGCTGTCTGCCCTGGCTCCTGTGTCAATATCGAGTCCGTGCTGTGCTGTATCTCTGAGAAGCAATAAAACCTTCTACTCCACTGGCCGGCTGAGAGTCACATCTGGCTGCGAAGGGGGGTGCAGGGTCGGGGGCTCCCTGATGCCCTGTAACAGTGGTGTCAGAAGTGGGATCCACTGTGCCCGTGGATGGAGCTTCCAGCAGCAAGTGATGGGGTACAGGAGAAGAAAGGGGGCTTGCACGAGCCAGGCGTGCTGGAGGCAGAGCGAAGTGGTTCCTGGGACGTTGCAGAATTGGCCGGTGAGTCTGCACCCTGGGAATGACAGGGAGATGACCTACCCCCGACTCCTGAGGGCAGACCTTGTGGGGTGGTGCAAAGAGAGGGGCCTGCCCACAGGAAAAGCAACCAAGGTCCAGCTGATTGCCCGTCTGGAAGAGAGTGGCCCGTTCAGGGGCCGGGATCCTGTCCCAGCGGGGAGCAGCCAGACAGCCCGAGAGCGTCTCAGACCGGAGGAGGGCTGGAGTCCACCAGACAGACACGGTGCCCACCAGGCCATGCTCTGCCAGCAGCGGCTCGTCCAGGTGGGGTCTCCCCTCGTCAGAGCTGCGATAGCTGGCTACCGATCAGTGGCTAAAGGAATTTGCAGGCGAAAGAGAAGGAGCGCAAAGACTGTAGGGAAGAGCACCAGGAACGGGAGAGACAGCGGCAGCATGAGCGGGCTATGGCAGATCGGAGAAGCGGAGGGGCCCTGGTCTCTAACTTGGAGCATTCTGGATGTGGCCTGGGCTGGCTGGGGAGGCCTGGGAATGTGTGATACCTTTTCCCTGTGAAAGCCTGCAGGTGCCCATGGCTATACATTAGGATTGAGGGGCCCAGAGTTGATCCCTGGGCTGAGGGAGTCGAAATAGGGAAACTTTGAGAACGCAGCCAGCACCCCCATTGCGTCCCACTTTCCTCAGGGAGCGACACTCATTTTGAAATAGCATCAGTGCGGACGCTCCCCTGCTGCTATTTCGAAATAACGACTCCCCAGAGTAATTTGAAGTAATCACTCCCCAGTGCTTCCTGGGACTCTAAACTGAGGTAGTGCATCCACATTACCGGACCCTGCCTTGGACCAATTTTGAGGCTCCCCCATAGAGGGGATGCACTATTTCAGTTTTGTTATTTCAGGAGCTGTTGTTTCAAACTCAGTTATTTTGAAATAATATCCCAGTGCAGATGTGCCCATGGGGACAGGGTTTGCTGCCCTTCGGGTTTCCTGTCTGCAGCGGGGCAGTGGGAGGGACCAGCAAGAGCAAAGCAAGACGCAGCTGGAGACAGATGCTGTGGGGAGGGGCAGCAGTTCAGATGACTTATTTATAATCGATCTGGAGAAAGGGGTAAACAGGGAGGTGGCAAAATTTGCCGATGATCCCAAAATACTCAAGATAGTTAAGACCAAAACAGACTGTGAAGAGCTTCAAAAAGATCTCACAAAACTGAGTGACTGGGCAACAAAATGGCAAATGAAATTGAATGTTGATAAATGTAAAGTAACGCACATTGGAAAAAATAACCCCAACTAGACGTACAGTATGATGGGGGCTAATTTTGATACAACTACTCAAAAGAGAGATCTTGGAGTCTCTGTGGATAGTTCTCTGACAGCATCCACGCAGTGTGCAGTGGCATCAAAAAAGCAACCAGAATGTTAGGCATCATGAAAAGGGATAGAGAATAAGACAGAAAATATCTTATTGCCTTTATATAAAATCACAGTCCACATCTTGAATACTGGCACAGATGTGGTCGCCTCAGCTCAAAAAAGATCTATTGGCATCGGAAAAGGTTCAGCAAAGGGCAACAACATGATCTGTGGTTTGGAACAGGTCCCATATGAAGAGAGATTAAAAAGACTTGGACTTTTCATGTTAGAGAAGAGGAGACTCAGGGGGAATATGATAGAGGTCTCTAAAATCATGACTGATGTGAAAAAAGTGAATAAGGAAAATGATTTACTTATTCCCACAATATAAGAACTAGGGGTCCACAAATGAAATTAATAGGCATCAGGTTTAAAACAAACAGAAGGAAGTTTTTGTTCACTCAGTGCACAATCAGCCTGTGGAACTCTTTGCCAGAGGACGTGGTGAAGACCAGGACTTTAACAGGGTTCAAGAAAGAGCTGGATAGATTCATGGAGGTTGGCTCCATCAATGGCTGTTAGCCAGGATGGGTAGGAATGGTGTCCCTAGCCTCTCTTTCTCTGGAGGTGGGTGACAGGGGAGGGATCACCTGTTGTGAGGATTCCCTGTTGTTTTCCCTCCCTCTGGGGCACCTGGCATTGGCCACTGTCAGCAGACAAGACACTGGGGGTATGTCTAGACTCCATGCCCCTGCCGACAGAGGCATGTAAACTAGGCCACCTGATATAGTCAAAGAAGACGGGATTTAAATATTCCCAGCTTCATTAAAATAAACATGGCCGCTGCGCTGTGCCGGCTCAGCTGATCATCGACACAGCGCGTCAGTCAAGACGCGGATCGGTCGACAAGGGAAGCCTCTGTCGACCGCTCCGGTAAACCTCGATGGAGCCATGTAGTCTAGACATAGCCACATTGTGCTATATACAACATCAAGGGAAGCCTTTGTTGACCGCTCCGTTACGCCTCGTGAAACAAGGTTTGCAGGAGCCGTCGACAAAGGCTTCCCGTGTCGACCGATCCGCGTCCTGACTCGCGCGCTGTGCCGATGATCAGCTGAGCCGGCACAGCACACGGCCATGTTTATTTGAATGGAGCCGGGGATATTTAAATCCCGGCTTCTTTGACTATGTCGGGTGGCCTAGTTTACATGCCTCTGTCGGCAGGGGCATGGAGTCTAGACATACCCTGAGGCTACTTCTACATTGGCCCCTATTCCGTAATAGGGATGCAAATATAGCACTTTGGAATAGACAAATCCGTGGGGGATTTAAATATCCCCTGGGGCGAGGGAGGGGCGCCCTTCTCTATGGGCCTGTGGACCTGGCCCTGCTGAAGGAGCAGGGACGAGGGGAGGGCTAACGCAGGCCCTGGCTGGGCTGTCCTGCCTTTGGCTTGCAGGATCCCCACTCACGAGAGAGAAAACCATCACCAGATTTTAAAAGATTGGACGTTGCTGTTCTGGTCGGGATGGGGGTCCCCTAGTCAGCGTTCCCCGCTCTCCCCAGTTGGGCCCTGCTGCAGGGACTCTGAGGGTCTGTCTACACTAGCCCCCTAGTTCGAACTAGGGTGGTTAAAGTAGGCAACCGAAGTTGCAAATGAGCCCGGGATTTAAATATCCCGGGCTTCATTTGCATCTTGCCGGGCACCACCATTTTTAAATCCCCGTTAGTGCGGACTCCGTGCCCGCAGCTACACGAGGCACGGAGTAGGTAGTTCGAATTAGACTCTCTAATTCAAACTACCGGTACACCTCATTTCACGAGGAGTAATGGTAGTTCGAATTAGAGAGCCTAATTCAAACTACCTACTACGTGCCACGTGTAGCCGCGGGCTTGGAGTCTGCACTAACGCGGATTTAAAAATGGCGGGGCCTGGCAAGATGCAAATGAAGCCCCGTATCTTTAAATCCT